GGAGGAAATCCTTCCCTCCTCCTCCTCCTCCTCCTCCTCCTCCTCCTCCTCGTTGAAGGTCAACTACATCATCTCAGAAGACCTTTTCCTCACCAGTCATGCCACAAATGACAGAGAAGAGATAAATTTTGATAAATGAAGGGATTTTTTTTCTGATAAGCTCTTTCCCCTTATGAGAAATTAAGACTCAGGAAAACCAGGAAAGACACAAAAAGCAGTTCCTGAAGTCCTGCAGTGTCGCAGAAATGCTTTGCATACCAAGACACTAAAGCCCTGGAACACCATAACTTCAGTGATACTACTGGACCACAAAGCACTTGAAAATTCCTATATTCCCCATTACCCAACCCCAAAAGAAAATGTCCCCTGCCATTCAGGAAGAAATGTTGTAGAGAACATTCTTTTCTAGATACCAGTTGAACCAGACGATCTTCTTGTCCTCCTTTGGCTTTTGACATTAACAAGTAAAAACACTCGGTTATCAGAGGAGTCTAATGGTCATTAATCTTTGCATCTGCCTGGCCTCAGATATCACAAGTGGCAGCAGTAGAAGAGTTTTGAGGAGTCTCTGGACCAAGCTTCCTGGACCCAGTGTCAAAGTAAATGGACCAAAAATAGGAATTACTGAACAAAGTGAGAATTGGAGCCAAGGAGAGGCAAGTGATTTGGACAAGTCACCTCCCTGGACCACACTTTTCTAATAAGGGAATTAGATCAGATGACCATTTATGGTTCAAAATTTTTGATTCTGGCCCAGCTTTGTGCAATGTGGAGAGTGAAACCTGGACCTTCGTTGATTCATTGATAACATGAATTACATAGACTGTTTGCATGTCAGTGAGTAAACAGGGTGAACTCTCTAATCTCAAGTACTTCTCCTTTAAGTAGTGAGGAATTCAGATTAGTAGTTAAGTAAACTTAGGTAGTTCTTAAGAGTGGGACCAAGGGAGACAGTCTGAGTTTTTATGCGCTGGAGTGGGAATTCTTTGTGTCTGGTAATTTTTATCAGGTTAAATAAATTCTTTTTCAAAAGAGAAAGAAAGATATAGGAATATAGGAGTTAGAGTAGGTATATAAGAGGATCAGACTGAAAACCAAAGAATAGCAGAAGAGGAACAACAGGGGATTTGAAAAGCCACTTGCTGGCACAGTTTGAAGAGAACAAAAAAAGGAGCAGATGACTTCAGCTATATGATTATTGATTGGCTGAATGAAGTTTAGGGAGAAGCTTCTTACAGATGTAAGTTACCCTTTTCTGCTCCCTCTGGTTTGAGAAGGAAAAGCTGATGGGGGCAAGACTACTTATGGCTGTTGTTACTGTACATCCTTCATTCTTGAAGGAGATGATGCCATGACATGCAAATGAATTGAATTAAAGTGAGGGAGGGCTGTGCAAGGTCTCCATCCTCACTCTCTCCTCTGGAGCTATCTAGATCCAGTGACAAGATATAGATCAGGATGACTGGAGATGGCCCAGGATGCAGTGGGACACCTTGGCCTTTTCAAGCTAAGGTCTTTAACAGGTCTCTGTTTGAGGAAGGCAATAGCCTATTCAGTGATTAAAGTTTAATAGTAAGTGAGGCAGAGAATGGCCTCTTTATCTAACCAAAAATAAATAAATAAATAAATAAATCTGGGACGGGGAAGACTCTCAGGGTTTCTGGGCCAAACAGAAACGATTGCCATTTGCATTCATTCTGAGCCAATCGGGCCCAAACAATGACTTGCAGCTCCTTTGGCTGATTTGCCTGGTTCAGAGTCAACCTGAGCTGGTTGATGTGAGATCTGTTCTAATTAGCCACACGGCATCCTAATGAGTGAAAAATTGGTTGGTCTGGCCTGTATAGCCCAGAGATCTCAAACCTGGTAAGCTTTGCAGTTCTTCAGCATAAAGGGAACTGCTGTTCACATTAAGAGGTAATACTTCCTAAACTCCCATTTAAAGATAAGTCACAAGTTGAAAGAGCTTGTAAATGCTATGTTCAAGAAAATAAGAAAAGAGTCTTTGCCCAACTGGAGAGCAATGAGAACCAATGGACAAGCAGATAGCAAAGAAGCAGTTTCATGTGGTATAGGTCATAGGATCATAAACAGAACTGGAAGCAATCTTAGAGACTATCTAGTTCAGTCCCTCATTTTATATGAGTAAATGACTTACCCAAGGTCTTACAGCTGGTAAGTGTCTGAGGCAGAATTTAAACTCTGGTTTTCCTGATTCCAAGTTCAGCTCACATTTTCCTGGACTTTCAGGACAAATGTCTGTAGAACAGAGTTATAAGGTCTATATGGGAAAAACTTGCCCAGCGCATGTGTTTTGTCTTCCTGGAGTGCTCCTCTTCCTGGTTCTGGTAAGGTGTACCTGCTCCCTGTCCTAGTGCCCCATCTCCATCAGATACTAAGTGAATTGATGGGAGAGTATGACCCAGGTTTATATGTGGTTTGTGATGTGTTTTATTATTTCTGTACTTGCTTTGATACATGAATAACTATTATTTGATAATTATTAATTTTGCCTTATTACTAAAGTATATTTAAGATACAAAAATATCATTATTGTGAATGCCTGGTTTGTATAAATGTAATACTTGGTACATGGGTTATAGGATATCCACTGTGTCCTAGTATAGTGTGTTACAGTTTGAATGGCTGGTTTTGTAAATAGGAACACATCAGTGGGGATTCAAGAGCTAGAATACTGAGTAGAGGGGGTGGTGGTGGAATATTTCCCTTCAACAGTTACCTTCAGCCCCTGAGGGAATCTGATCGTAATTGTGGTAGTACTTTCTCTGGAAACTTAGTCCTATCAGTAGGAGAACAGGTTGGAATGACCCAAATAGTTAACCCAAAGAGTGAGCTGGTGAGGGGTGACATTGAGGAGATATCTTAGCTACCCCACGTATTGTGTTATATTGTTGGAATAGTGAGCACAACACTGCTATTACTCTTGCACAAAACTGGGACCCCTTTTACTCACACCAGGGAAAAACTAGACAAGATTTGTTCTAAAGTTCCTAGAAGAAAGTTGAGTGGGGAAGGGGGTGCAAAATGAGTCAAAGAACTATGATTTGGGAGGCATATCCTTCCTCTCAGAACCTGTTCCATGTAAACACAAATCTTGGGGTTCTAGGCCATAGTTTATGCCATAGCATAAGGAGTATTCCAACTTGATAGTTATTCTTGAGACCCTGGAGTAGGAAAGAAGGATCAGACAACATGTTGAAGGGATTGAGTATTGATCTTATGAAATTGAATGTGATTGAAATGCTGCCTCAGAGACCTACTATGTGAACTTCAACAAGTCACTTAACCTGTCTGTGCTTCAGTTGCTTTACCAGAAAATAGAGATAACAACTGATCATCTTGTTCTGAGGATTATTCTGAAGATCTAATAAGCTAATATGTGAAAATGTTACATGGGGTATGTAACATATAAGGAGTATTATTAAAGAAAATCTTTTCAGTCAGATGGAAACAGTCCTTGGGACAAATCACTTTTTTACTATTCTTCTTTTATATTTAGTGTTCTAGGGACTACTGCCCCAAACCCTTCAATTTCCATAGCTATTCTGACAGTCATTTGATTGATGCCTCCTTATTGACATATTGTTGGCTAAGTCCTCATGGATATTACTCATAGAGGACCTTTTGATTCTACCCTCAGATCCTCAATCATTTCACAGGCTCCATCTAGAGGTAAATTTTCTTCAGTTTACCAATCCAATACCAACCAAATGCAATTGGCATTTATTGTTTTCCCATTTTATTGTTTCTTCCTTGATTCACAAAACACACTTTGAAATTTGGAAATATTTCCATACAGACATGGAAATAATAGGCAATAATTAATAGAATCCCAAACTATAAGAGAATAATAGAAGAATACAAACTTGTCTCAAGAATGTCTCTATCTGAATGTCATAAAAAATGAGATGATAACTAATACAACACACTGGTTCTCAAGCATTACTACAGACAATACTATTGCCTGTACATAAGATTGATCTGTGAACATTTGACAGCGTTGTTTTTAGGAGACATCAGTATTTTGAACATTTGTACTCTTCAAATCACATGAAATAAAAGCTTTCAAAATACAGAGCTCAAGCGGAAGGAATCAAAACTAAATAGGAACAAAATGAGGCATATATCACCCTGTCTAGTACTCTTGTCCTGACGACGCTTGCAGTGAGACTACAGATGATCTAATAACACAACACTTTAAATTTACAAAAGGCAATCATCTTATCCACCTGTGCCGTAGAACATTAAATATAAAACGATATCATGATAATGACTTTTCCTTGAACTCTATCTGAACTCCATTGAAAAATATGAGAACAAGATAATAATTATAACCCACATTTATATAGTTCCCTAAGGTTTACAAAGCACTTTACTTATAACAACCTTATCAGGTAGGTAGTGTGATTATCATCCCCATCTTACAGATGAGAAAACCTAATGTCACAGGGGTAAGGTTATTTACCAGTGATATCTCTATTAGTAAATGTTGGGTCCAGAACTCTCTCTCTTAATATATTGTTACATGATATTGATAGTACCATAATTTCTAGGATTAAAGGCACAGTGGAAAAGAAGTAGAAAAAAGCTAAGTGGATGGCAGCCCTACCTTTATCAATAGTTCACCTCTGGCAAATTACTTTTCAACTCTGGACCAGTTTCTGCACCTGTAAAATGAAAAGTTCAGACTAGATGATGAAGTTACATTCCACTATATTGTGCTATGTCTAGAGTATTTACTTTTACATACCCCTAACACACTTTCTCTCCTTTTACCCTCTCTCAAATTAATTCAGGAGCTTAGGTCATTATGTTCCTGACTTAGCAATTTAGTTATTATCTGAGTGGAGAAAACTTGGTACAAAACTGTTTCAGTTTATATGGTGGGAGACATGTTCTTTTCTTTTTAATTCATTGTGTCTAAAATGTGAATTACAAATGAACTTCTTGTTTGAAATAATGTATTATCATCTCTGCAGCACCTGAAATTCTTAGAGGATGTGCCTATGGACCTGAAGTGGATATGTGGTCCCTGGGAGTAATCACCTACATCTTGTAAGTGAAGAAAGCAAAAGTGCATTGGGTTACAACATTTTATAAGACCCTAAGCCCCATCCGTTTGGGTCTGCCATCCCACAAAGAAGCCTTTTGTGAAACATTCATTATTTTCTAAGCATATTCAAGGAGAGGATTTTCTTCTAATCCAAATGATAACCTCAAATTTAATCAGTATTGAACAACAGACCAAGAAAATATGGACAGAATCTTTGTAATTTCCTGAGGGGTAAAGGCACTATTCTTGTCTTTTCTTGTTTGTTCTTCCTCCTGTTCAATATTTTTCAACTTTGGGAGTAATCATTTATTACTGAAGATAATTAAGATTAAACTCAAATTGGTTTTTTACCCTAATATTGCTTTACTTTTACATTTTACTTTTACTAAATTATTTGAATAGTTTGACTGGCTCCCATGCCTGCTATTTACCTTCTCCTCATTTCTACCTGTCAAAATCCCTTTCTTCTTTCTAGGCTTGGTTCAACTACCACTTCCTCCATGAAGTCCTAATATCCCCCGGTCCAAGAATTATTTTTCCCTTCAAATTTTCCTGGAGCACATTGCCTCTCTCTTCTTTGCCTCCATTATTCCTATCTTATAAAAATATTTACAAAGCACTGGATTCTTATAGAATGACATCCTGAGGAGGAAGATGTTAGGAGCATAGATTGGGAGCTGGAAAGGACCTTCAATGCCAAATTCAAAACCCTTTCACTACCCCCAATTTTTTTTTAAGATGAGGAAATTGAGAGATTAAGTGACTTATTCAGGGTCACCCTACTAGTAAGTGTCTAAGGCAGGATCTGAACCTGCATCTTCCTGACTGCAAATACAGTGTCCTTTCCAACATTTTATACTACTTCCCAATAAACTCAATAAGTTCTGACTGATAAGGCAGAATATAATTTTTTTTTCTTTTATACTCTATGAAAATAAATCTAGTAGCATTTCAGACATTTTAAAGTTATATTAAGTCGTGACCATTCATCGAAAACACTTTCTCTTCCACTCATCCCAATAATTAGCACTTTAGATGCTTATTTTTATTTTTGTTACTTTTTCCCTGAATAAAAATACCTATAGAAGTTATATTCATGTTATTGTAATATAGCTTGATTCACTTTCTTTTTTAAAAATACATCTTATTGATGCTTTTTGTTTTTAAGCTATCTAAGTTTCTTTTTGGATCCCTTTCTATCCCCCTTTCCTTGTAACAAAAAATATTTTTCAGAAACAAGAGAAAGAGGAAAAAGCAATCAGCAAAAACAATCAATATATTAAAAAATTGGAAACATATGTATGTCCCACACCTGTGGACCTTCTACTTCACCTTTCATGTTATTTCATTGCTTTTAGCCCTTCTTCCCACCATCCTCCTTTTAAAGGTCTGTTCCTACAACAATGCTTTATTTTGTGTATCCCTCTAGCACAGTGGAAGGTTGGTGGTAAGAGCCAAACTGTTTCTAGTTCAAGGAGTCAGGGCAGACAATATAGGCTAATTTTCTTTTTTCCTGCCATGCCAATCAGAATCATGAATGTATTAAAGATAGAAAATCTCCAACTCTGGAATGACCTACCAGTTCTGCACACAAACCAACTACTATCATAAGCTTTAGCATCTTGGACTTTTATCATCTGGGGACCAGGCAAAAGGGTTAATATTTTAACATTAAAATGTCTGGGGGGATTCTTACTTTTTCTAGGTGTTTTAATGACAGAATTCTACTACTCCACATCTGATTCCTTCCAATGTTATCATTTTCTGATTGCCTGTAGCATCTGATTGCTTTATTGCCTCTGTGTTCCCCTATCAGTTTTATATTTTATCTCTGTCCCAGCTAATACTAAGAGCCTGACACAACTGGAGATAGGGAGGAGGCATTCAAGCAGTATAACTCCTCTACTTATTATTTTCCCTTTCATATTTTAGCAGCTAGGAAGCAACATAGATTGAACCAATTCATCATCTTGAAAGATTCATGCTTGTGTCAAAATAAAAGTGTAACACATTGATGAACTCATTCAGTGATAATTCTGCCAGTGGATAATAACTCCTATTTTACCAGAGAAGCACCTTCCTTCCCACAGACCATGAAGAGAATTCACCCAGTAAAGGCTGACTGATGAGGACTAAATACATTTTCATTTATGCTGCTTGGCAAAGCAAATCTAGTAAAATTTAAGAAATTTTGAATTGAGGTGACATTATTATCAATCATCCTTCAAAGTCCTTTCCTTTTCTTTTGAATATGCAGTTATGTACTGGATGTTTCTTTCATTAACTATAGAATGTAAATTTGTTGCTTGGTCTTGAATAAAGGGAATTCTCTGTCCCTTCCTTCCTTCTCCATTGCTCGTGCCCAAGTCTACATTCAGAATACCAGTTAAGCAGCAGTGACCTTAGTGCATACAGGCTGCTCTAACAAGAGTACAAAGGGCATGTTTGACACAATGTCCTCCATCATTCTGCAGATGACTCCCCTCCATCCCATCCTCAATACCCACAGGCCATTTATTTCCTTTGCAGGCTATGCTCCAGAATACTTTAGAAGTATAAAACATTTACTTTATGTTCTCATGCCCCTAGTGGACAGAGATATTTTTTTTCTCCCTCCACAGTATGTGGTCACCCCAACCAGTGTGATATAGTAAAAAGAATATTAGATTAGAGTCAAGAAGGACCTTGGTTCAAATTTCATCTTTGACACTGTGATCCTGGGCTTCTATGTTTCAATTTCTTTGGGGCTTCATTTTCACATATGAAAATGGAGATTATAATAACTGTATTGCCTCACATCATTATTACTAGCATCAAATAGAACAGTGGATTATAAAATATATTGTAAGCCTTAAAGTTCTGTCAAAAAGGTTTGTTTCTTATTGTAAGAATGTAGACAACATGCTATGGCATTCTGGGAAAGAATTAAGCAAAATGAGAATCTTTTAGCTGCCTAATTTTACTTTTTATGGATTTAGGCATTGCTGATTATTTTTCCCTCACTGTTTAATTCATTTACCTGTTGAATCAGAGCAGATCATGAACATCTCAACCTGTTAGTTTTCTGTAAGAGAAGACTTTGATTTCCATTTTCAGTAGCCCACATTGGCAGTAAAGTGCAACTGCTGTAGCCAGCAAAAAATCTCAGCCTCCCAAAACATAATTTACATGATTTTGGAAAAGTCACATAAATCTTGGCACTGGTTGTATTGTTTTCCCTTTCAATCACCCTCCATGCCATTTTTCATTTTTCTAGGTCTTTATTCTTTCAGTGGTTTTTGAAGTGGAGTATAACTTTGTGTGGATGATGATATTTTTAACTGATTAGCATCTCTAAAATTTGAAGATTGGGATGAATGAAAATGTTGGGAAAAGTTTCACTTTCCCATTGCTTAAATTTCTTCTCAAAAGCATCTTCATTTTCTTGCATTCTGCATATATACCCTGTGCATCAGGAAATATACTGAATTATCTCTCCTTTTTTCTCATTTCCTGAGGAGAGTGAGAATACTTATTATAGAAATCTGTGTGCTTGAACTCCTACTCTTATTTCATAAGAACATCAAATTTCTGTTATAAATTTCTGTTATAAAGTTAAAGAGAAGTTTAACAAAATGATATTTTGCCCATCAGGAGTTTGCTTACTGTGAGGAAAACACCATTAATGGAGAAGGATGAGCATTTCTTCAGGAGTGAAATGTGCTTAACTATTTAATAAAGTTGTTCATTTTCTCTTTCCTCTTCAGACTTTGTGGATTTGAACCATTTTATGATGAAAGGGGAGATCAGTACATGTTTAAGAGAATTCTGAACTGTCACTATCGCTTTGTCTCCCCTTGGTGGGATGATGTGTCTTTGAATGCCAAGGATTTGGTAAGGTGGACCAAAAAGAATCCCTTTTTAAAAAATCAGATTAAGGAAGAAAATAACATATTACTTGTCAGTCATGGTTTAAGTTCGCATTCCTATGTATTCATGTATGCTTTTTCTTCAGTTAAGCAATTTTAGTGTGAGTTAGTAATGTTCTTATCCATTTGTCATTTGACTGCAAGAATTTAGGGAGGCAACAGTAGAAAGAGCATTGAACTGCAGGAGATCTGTTTTTCTCATTCAGGCCCAGTCATTAACTATGTTATTTTGGGCAAGTTCCCACCCCCCAACCCCAACATCTTTGTCTTTTCATTTCTCCATCTGTAAAGCAGGGTACAAGATGCTTCTCAGAGTCTCTTCCAACATTTATTATTTTAAAATGTAAATAATTCTGAAAATGAAGGAATAGCAGTCTAAATAAGTAAAAATGAATAAAAGGCATTGATTATAGAGTGTTTAAATAAGTTCAGCTTTATTACTTTCAAGGACATTCAGTAATAAATCAATGCTAACAAAGGTCCTTTAATCAATGGACAAGGAATTGTATTTAGCTAACATATGATAATCTGTATTCCAATGAATTTTTCTACAAAGTGCTTCAGGGTTCTTAAGGCTTCTTTTCAGTAACTGCATTATTCTCTGAGGACAGCTAATTTGCTATAAGAAACCTTTTCATCTTAGATAATAAAAAGCCTCATCCAAATTTTCACAAATTCCTTAGTGGTACATTGTTAAAGTACTCAATTCTCCACTCTACATGCTAAGAGAAAGACATGGCTGTGAACACATTCCATTAGAGCTAAAGTTTCTTCTAGAATTCAGTTAGATTCTGGGTCTGCTCTTTACTAGTTCTGTGAGTCTGGACAAGCCACTTAAATGTTCAGGGCCTGTTTCTTATTATGAAAAGGAGGATGATCCTACTCGGAGATCATTATGAAGGGCTTTACACTTTAAATAGCAAGTCATTAATTTTCACTATTCAGCTATGTTTTAAGTCATACAAATAATGTTTGTGGAAACAGAATTACTTCCTCCATTCAGCAAGCATTTATTAAGTGCTCTTCCTGTGCCAAGCACTGGGGATTCAAACACAAAAATGAAATGGTCACTGCCCTCAAGGGGTTTACATTACCTGAAAGGTAAACAACTTGAACACAGGTAGGTGAATACAAAATATATACAAAATGATTTCCAGTGTGAGAGATGAGCCCTTTGAGAAATAAGGGCAGGCCTCTTGAAAGAAGTAGCATTTTCACTGAGTCTAAAGGAAGCTAGGCATTGTAGGAGGTTGAAGTGAGAAGAATGAAGTGGGAATGAGCACAGAGGTAAGGGATAGATTGCCACAAGTAAGAAGCAGTATGGAGGCCACCACAGCTGGAACATGGAGTGTGTGAAGGAGAGCAATATATAATAAACCTGTAGGCTTGAACCAGATTAGGGGAAGCATTAAAAGCCCAAATTTACATTTTATCTGAGATGTAAGAGGGAGCCTTTTAGAGCTTCTTAAGTAGGGTAGTGACCTAATTAGACCTATGCTTTAGGAATTTCAATTTGGCAATTTCATAAAAGATGGACTGATGAGAGGGGAACCTGGAGATGGCAATTAGGATGCTATTATTATAGTTTACGAATGACTTTTTATGAAATTAAAGAATAATGGAATATGAAAGGTTACTAATTTTATCAGTCATACTTTACAGCAACCTCAGAAAAAAGGATCCCTCCTATTTACAATGGATTATGTAATTTTTATTGATTATATTTTGCTTAGATTAATATAAAATGCATTTGAATTCATTAAATAAATACCTCAACTAACAGTTGGTTAGATGGTTCAGGTGTTCTAAATAAAACAGAGATACTAGTGTGATGCTGAAAAGTTTCCCCGTGAGCCATTTCTGAAAGAAACAACATGTAAGAATAATCAAGGTTTCTTGTAGAACTAGCTGTAGAATGTTAGAGTTGAAAGTTACTTTACAGATCATTTAGTCGTAATTTTCTGGAAATCACAGAGTTAGAACCCAGGACTTATAGTGAAGTGCTTTTTTTTTTCATGGCCCAAAGCTGCTTCTGTAATGACCAAGGACAACTACTGCCCATCAAGCTTGTTGGAATTCATCCAAATTATCTACATTTTAGTGACCACTCATTCCTCCTAAATAACGCCAAAGCCTCAGGCATGAAGGACATTCCTGTAATTAAAGCTAATCCTAGCCCATTTACTAACAACATTTCTTTTGATTTCAATGGATTTTTTCCTCATAGGAAAGTATGTAGCACATAAGTCAGAGACCAGAGATTTAGAACTAGAAGAGTCCTTAAACTCATCTAAACCTCTCATTTTGCAAATGAAACTGAGACCTAGAATAGTGAAGTGACTTTGCCCACAGCTATATTCCTTCTGAACTATTAGTAGGCTGATTATTTTAAAAATATATTTAAAAATTTATCATTATGTGTGGGTACTTAGGTAGGCATAGAAAAGAACTACATAAGTATAATCTTTAACTTGAAGGACTGTAATAGGAGATGAAATGACATGATATGAGACAAGACATGAAATGATATAACAACATAGCGACATGACATAACTATACCATATCACATGTCACGTTACATCATATAACATAGCATTATGATATAATTAATCTACATTAATATAATTTCAATGATAATAAAACCAGAACCTATTTATTTGACCCCTAGATGGGAAACAAACAAGAGTGCTACAGCCCTAGATGGTATCCATACTTGCCTTCCTTGACCCTACAACCGTTGCCACACGTGGCCATTTGTCTTTAATGACCTTTAGGTGCTTAAAATTTTTTTTCTCTTTCTTTACCTAGATACCTGAGAGCATATCCTTTTATTTTACAGATGAAGGACCTGAAACCTTGAGTGATGAAGTGACTTGTCCCAGGTCACTTAGGTAGTAGTGGCCAACCCATGATTCAAACCTAGCTCTTTTCATTCTATCACACTATCCTTTTTTTTTTTTTTGTATTCTCTTAGCAGTATAGCCAAAAGTAATGGGCAGGCCTTTGATATTTACAGGCCAGGTGGCATGCCAATGCCCATTTTGCCATCATAGAGTTTTTGTAAATAGGGTTGTATCCATCCTCACGTTTATTTTGAAATTAATATCCCCACTAAAGAGCCTATCGTGCTCTGTTGCTATAGGTGAAGAAACTGATTGTTTTGGATCCTAAGAAGCGCTTGACCACATTCCAAGCTCTGCAGCACCCTTGGGTCACAGGGAAGGCAGCTAATTTTGTACATATGGACACTGCCCAAAAGAAACTCCAAGAATTCAATGCACGGAGAAAGCTTAAGGTAAGAAATCACTGGAAGAAGTGACTCATTTTACAAGGAAATTCAGGAGTGTTCTAATAAGTAAAAATGCAAAAGTTTCAACATTCCTCATCAAATATTATGTATTAAGCATTTTATAATATATCAGAGCTAGAAGGGAATTAGATGTCATCTTATTTAATCCCCTCATTTTATATTTGAGGAAACTGAGGTTCAGAGAAAGGAAGTGACTTGATCAAAGTAATACGAAAATTTCTGGTCCCAAACTTATTTGAAATTCTGAAAACTCAGGTTGGTGTCCTCTCTCTTAGAGCTGTGCTACACCTCTGACATTGCTTATTAAAAATGAGAAATTTTTCCTACATTCATTCTACTGAGGACAAATTACTCAAAAAACTTGAGCAGATTATTTCTGTTTTTCACCCATTAAAAATTAAGGAGAATGGTTCAAACATCAACATTTAGTTAAATAATACTTATACATAATTTTACAGTCATTTTTGGGGATGTGTATAAATGAAGCAAATATATCTTGCTAAGCAAATGAAATTAAATGATTATGCCACTTGATTTTAACTAAAATGCTATAAAACACTTTGTGGACAATCACTCCCCAGATTTCACTGACTCTTAAGACAATAGCTTCTTGTATTCTTTAATCACAAAATAATTTTATAAATGATTTGCAAACCAAGAAGTTGATGAAGAATTGTCAGAATGTTGAAGAGATGGCCTTAACTCAAATACTGCCTATTCATCCACACACACACCTACACCCACACACACCCATATGCATATACAGTTATCCCTTCCACATCATAGGGATTAGGGGTGTGGCACCCCTGTGATCTGGATAAACCACATAAAAGTTTTTGGCCTTCCTTTCATACCAGAGAAATATTCTGAATTTTTTCTTTTTCTTTTTCTTTTGTGAGGTGTTTACATTACCTTATTGTAAAATTTGGATTATGTATTTAATCATAGGTTCTGTGTTGTCTGCTAGCCTTTACATGTTGCCTGTGACTTCTGCAAAACTCCCCCAAGATTCCCATTTAATTTCTTATGCTGACCCATGATATAGTGGAAACTCAATGGGGAAAGTCGCCATGTGGAAGGGATAACTCTGTGTGTGTGTGTGTGTGTGTGTGTGTGTGTGTGTCTATGTGTGTATGTGTACATGTGTATATGTGTGTGTTTATATACCCACATATGTATATATATTTCTCTTGGTTCATTTCCCCATATTGTAGACATAGCTGATAGATAATAGAGTTTTAGAAACACTGAATAGTTTCTTTCTTTTGACTGAGAAAATTTTGAAGGGCTTCCCAGGCAAAGCAAAGAAATGAATTTGTAAGAAAAATATTTTATAGGTATGTACCTTTTATTTAAGTGTAAGCAGCACAATTATAGTGAAAAAGGTTTTATGGTTGACTAGAGGAAGCCAGCTCTATTTCAAAGCATTTCCAAAGTTCTGAGTTACCATAAAGTGGAACTCGGACCGGGACCTTCCCTGTCCAGAACTGCCAAAGAACATAGAATTGTCCACTTTAAATATATATAAAATGGACAATACACACACATATATGAATGTGTGTGTACGTACATATGTATTTCAGGGAAATTGTTCTAATGTTTGAAGCTGGATCTCTAAAGGGTTTCCATAGCATTTTGACAGTTAGCCTTTCAGAGACTTGTAAGTTATTAAAAAATCAGATCTTGAACCTAGGATTCAATAAATCTGAAAATACAAGTTACTGAGGAAAGAACTCCCTCTGACAAGAATTGCTGGGAAAACTAGTAAGCAATCTGGAAGAAATTAGGCGTAGACTAATATTTTACACTATATTCCACAATAAATTCAAAATGGACACACAAACTGAATATTAAAGATCATATCATTTAAAAAAAATAGAAGAAAAGTAGATCATGTACCTTTCACAGCTATGGGGAGGAAACATTCTTAATCAGTGTTAGCTGAGAACGAAATCCAGAACTGAAATAACTTAGAAGCAAATTTAAGTCGTCTTTTTCGAGAGACCTGAAAAAGGGGTGGCCCACCTCTCCCCCCAGTGTCTATAAGTTACACATTATATAGGATTCAAACAAAGGAACAAGGAAATAGTATCTGATTGGCCAGCACAAAAACAGTTTCTGGGTAAGACATGTGTTGCTTGAGATGTATAATGGGAGAAAACTACTCATATTCCTTTGCATTAGACTTTGGATCTGACTAGGTTTCTCGTCAGCATAACCTAGCTCCTCAGTCAAGAATTAAACTTATCTGGTCTCTAAGTAACAATTTTGATTTCAGCCATACAGATCTATGTTCAAATAATACAATAAAGTTTTCCCACACCAGATAAAATAGCTAATTTTGATTACATGAAAATGAAAAGTTTCTATACAAACTCCTATATTAAGCTCTTGCATTAAAAATGTAGCATAAGAAGGGAAGTGATTGAATTGGGTTGGGGGAGGAGGGAGGAAACCTTTGTATCACCTTTCTTAGATAAGAATTTGCTATCCAAGATGTATAAACAATGGACAGAAATATAAAACCCAAATCCATTCCCCATGGTCAAAAGATATGAATAAATACTTGTCAAAAGAATTATAAAGCATTAAAAACCATATGTAATGTTCTAAATTACTAATAGAAAAAAGCATATCAAACCAACCCTGAAATTTTTTTTAATATTATGGATGAAGCTTGATCCTTGAGAGAAGTTGAGAAAAATGCACTTCCCTCTCTTCTTTGCACAAGTGGGAGATTATGGGTAAGGATTACTGCATGTACTGACAAACACACTTGATATATTGAATTTCTTTTACTGAACTCTTAAAAAAATCTTTGTCAGAAGAGGTGGCTTACTTGGTAGGGAAGGGTGAAAAGAAATGTTCAGAAATGAAGGTGATTTAAAAAACATTCTTTCTATACTACTATGTTATGGAAATGCTTGTTTTTTCTTCAGTTCAGAACAAAATAAATAAATAAATTTTTAAAGCTATCAATGAAAACTCTATGGTTATATGTAAAGATTCATAAGGACTGATACAGAGTGATACAAGATGAACCAGGAAAACAATACATACAATGATTACAAAACTATAAGTTATAAGAAAAAAATGAAAATGAATCCCATAAAATTATAATGACCAAGCCTGGCCCCAGAGAAGAAATGAGAAAATGCACTTCCCTCCCTTCATTAGGAACAGCAGATTGCATATACTGTCAGATAACAGTCATTATATTGATTGACTTTCTTCAACCAGTTTTCTTTTTTTCTCACAAAGGCTGGCTCACAGAGACATATTCAGAAATTACTGTTAAAAACAAAAGGTATAAATAAAATAAGATTAATTTAAAATAACAACAACAAAAACAACAAATCTGAGATGTAGCCTCAAATCTAGAACATGGGCGAAGATGACAAAAGATGGGAATAGTCAATGTTAGAGGGGTTATGAAAAGATAGGCCCACTAATTTATTGTTGGTGGAGCTGTGAATCGGTATAATGATTTTCTAAAGTAATTTGGAATTGTGCAAACAAATAAAGTCGTTAAAATGTCTATACCTTTTGACCCAGAGATTCTACTGTTAGGCATATGCCTCAAGAAGGTGGCTAAAATATTTATAGTAGAACTTTCTGTGATAGTAAGGAAATGGAAAGTAAATGCTCATTAGTTGGGGAATAACCACAAATTGTGGTACATGAATGTAATGGAATATTACTGTGCTGTAAAAAAGAACAAGTATGATGAACACAGGAAAACATGAAAAGATTTACATGAACTGATGCAAGCTGAAGTAAGCAGCATTAAGAAAACAATACATATAATTACAGTGATGTAAATGGAAAGGACCACTACCATACAACAATTAAAAATGTTGCAAATTGTCTACAAGCTTGACCCCAAAGAGAAAATATGAAAAGATTCTTCTAATTTGCAGAGAAGATGAGTGGTGGGGTGTAGATTGAGTGTAGAATGGTTCATATGTTGTCAGATTTTTTTTCAATGTATTGAGTGGTGTTTCTAATTTTTTTCCTTTTTCTTTTTTTCTTTTTGTAAAAAGCATAGTTCACAGACCCGCATCTAGTGTTTCTCTTTTTCCAAACTAAACTAAACCAAAGTACATATATTGTGAAGGGAATACACATAGCCAGAGGACAATGGGGAGAGGGAATGTGTGCAATCTGAACAATTCATGCTTCTCGGCTATAGCCCACCTAGAACATTTCCTTGTTTCCAAAGCTGCTGCTTGCTGCTTCCTACATTTCTATAGATAAACTCTATCTACTGGTTTATTGAAATCATCTGCTGAAATGATTTCTTTTCTGAGTTACACGTTTTTAGTATTATCTACTGTGATGTCTGCTCCATAAAATGCCATTTTCAGCTGATCGTTACCTCTTTCCCAAAGAGTAAGGAACAAAGTGCATCTCTGAGATAACCCTAAGCAGATGATTTATTTTGGCTCTTTTCTGAATCAAACCCACACCTGCACCCAGTCAACAAGCAAAAAAATCATCTATCTTTTGAAATACTTTGTTTCTGCTTCATTGCCCACTCCCCCAAGTGAGGAGTTTGTTATTTGCTTTTAGACTAGAAAATTCATTTCAATTCCCATCATGTTTCCAGTGTTGATGAAAATTACCTTAGAGCTTAATTCAAAGACTAGAGGGGTATGGTGGCACTGGTAATCTTTGTCTTTCATTCTCCAAATTGTACTCACATCACTGCTTTCTTTTTTACATAAAAGAAAGTAGTTATTTTTTTTAAAGAACATAAATTCCTATCTTTCCAGAATACAAATAATCAAAATATTCATATAAGCAGATATTTTACTGTATTCTACTTTTACGAAAAAATATAAAAAGCTCAGTAAGCCTGTTTATCTGAGATTTATTAAAAATATCAAGTTTTGGGGTATGTTATTGGATCAGGATAGCTTCAACTTAGTCTCCTATACTTTTTTTAACCACTAACAATGCCATGAAATGATTATTGACATTCA